CAAAGAGGAGAGAACCAAACAAAAAAACCAGAAAGGCCCGTAGCCTCGCCTCCTCTGCCAACAAAAGTGAACCACCTTCTGAGGGGATGTATGAAGGCCGAAAAATCTCGAGGTCCTCCCGGGCATCCCTCTAGACCTGCTCAAACAGCTCTACCCCAAACCTGCTCAATCTCCTGTGGGGCCTAGTCGATCTTGACAACACTTGTGTAACTCTGTATTTCTCTAATGCTATGGCTCAGGTGTATACTTCTTTGCTGCCCCTCTCGCCCAAAGTGCGTGACACAAGCGATAAAGAGAGGCAACTGTAGAAACCATGTTCCCGGCTTCAGAAATCCCAAGAAACTAAAGACCCTGGAACTATAGAAACCTTGACCTAGCCGCCTCTGCAAACCGTAGACTCTAGAACCGCCTAGTACCTAGAAACCGACCCGTATGCAGTTCTAACACCCAAAACCCTGAAAACCAGCACCTGAAAGCCCAAGCCCTGTTGACCTTCCTAAAGCCTGCTATTTGGGTCCGAATAAAGTCCCAAATCGAAGTAGATGTTGTAAGATTTCCAATGGTTCAAGAATCGCTCAAATCCGACACATGGTTTGGAAGTTATGGCCTGAGAAAGTTTATTAGCTGAAAATACCATCCTCCTCCCTCAACGCCAACATCGACGTCGGGACCGCCAACGCTGAGAAAAAGAGCCAAAATTCAGCAGCGCAAAGAGCACAAATGCTTGCACCAACGGCAGTAACGGTGCCTAAAAGAAGGTCGACCATCAGTAACGATGAATCATTGGCCGGAGGTCAGGCCCTCGAAATCCGACCGGAATGTCATAATTGTGCAAGCGATAGAGGCACCCATGCCAGCGTTCGAGACAACAATGCCATCAGCAATAGTGTTCTGGAATCATTAACCTAAAGAACCGCCAAAAAATAGGGGTCGAAGCCTGATAGGAATGTAGTGTCAAGGTCAATGATGCAAGCATCATGGCCATCAACACTAGGTCAACAGAGACAAATCTTTACGCCTGAACCACTAACGAGGGACCAGACACCATACGGCAGCATCAGCACTGTTCAAACTATTTTGAAATGATGTACTACAAAGCTCTGCCATGGGTGTGGCAAAAGCCTGCGTCAAGGGTGACCAAACTTCCAGGCAGACTACCCCATACATTTGCAACAGTTTTTTCATTAAAATGAGGCAGACTGAATTATTGAAAAAGGATTAGGGGTAAAAAGACTACCACTCTGCAGCATCAACACTGTTTTGAAATAATTGTGCTGCCCGAGTCTGGCTTCAATGGTGGCCAGACTAGCATCAACACCACCCTCGCTAGCAATCAGTGACCCTGTTCATGTGCCACTCCCCAAAACATTGTTTTCATTAATTGGTTAAGGCGTGTTACGCATGTTGTAATGATTCAGCACCAGGGGTGGCACTGTTGACACGACTTTGAAATCATGACATGGAGCCAACTACCGGTGTTATCAGTGCCCCCGTCGCTACTAATCAACATCCCGAAATTAATCAAAACTTTCAGGCACTGTTAAAGGGACATTCCTCTATAGATAGGGGCCTTGGCCCTCAAACTCTATCGTACCAAACACTTGTCCCCTGAGCCCTCCAAACATAAGTCCAAACCATAGTTGTTGGAAACGCCTGGGAACCCGAATCATTTCGGGAACCGGAATCGCGGAATCGTGCTTGGCCAGAAGTTTCTCGTTGTAGGAATCGGTGTCCATACAATAGGAATCATTGGGAACGAGATTCCTAATTTTCAGGAATTGAGTATCGATCGGAATAGGTCCAAGTTTCATCCACATATGGAATCGAGATTCCCGCCTCCTTGGAATCAAGATTCCCATTCCCCCGGGTTCGACACTCCAAGTGTTAAGTTTCTCTAATACACGGAATCGAGTTTCCGACATATGCGAAATCGAGTTTCCGATATACACGAAATCGAGTTTCCGATATACGTGGTATCGAGTTTCTGATGTACACGGAATCGAGTTTTCGATATATGCGGAACCGAGTTTCCATCATTTATGGAATCATGCTTCTAACATATTAGGAATCGAATGTCAATCATCTATGGAATCGTGTTTCTAACATATTTGGAATCGTGGATAAGAGATCCATGCTGGTTTGAGATCGAGAATTACAATAGCGGAATCGAGTTTCCGACATCACTTGATTCAAGTTTCTGACATCTGTGGTACATAGATATGTTGTTGTGTAAATTCGTGATTCCTACATATTTGGAATCAAGTTTCTGAAGTATTGAAGAGGCGAGTTGGTCAGGTGTTACTGGGTAGAATTTTTAGACATTAGGAGTATTGCGATACCATTTAGGAAGTGTCACTAGATTGTTTAAACTTTAGAGTTTAGAGGAGTTTGGGTTTTCTCAAGCTCAAGCCACGACAGTGTGTGGTATAGGGCCTATAGGCATTGTCACTGCAAGGCTGCATGTTGTGCATGAAGGAAAGATGGTGGCATCAACATGTGTTAGTGTATCATTTGAGAGAGAACGTGGTTGGCAAAGTTAGCACTGGAACACCAACTTACCCCTTCAAGAGAATGAACTATCAAATTTAAATATTTAGAGTTTTAAAGTACTAAGTTACTAATTACTACACCTGGTAGATTGTTGAAGAGGTTGAGATTGCACATTTTCTAAACGTCTTGTGTGGCTCATTGTATCGATCTCATGCTTTAGAAAGTTGCCTAGAAGAAAGCGGTGCATGTATATTAAAAAAAGCTAAAGCTGTAACATTTTTTATTTATAGCCACACCAATGTTTTGACCATGATGAGGAAGTTTACAGATCATGGGACTGACTTAGAGAGGGGGGGTGTCACAAGGTTTGCCACTTTGTTTTTAGAATCTCTGAATAGGCAAAAAGACAAGATTCAAACCATGTTCATCTCCTCAGATTGGAAGGAGAGCAAGTGGTCTAAGGAGGACAAGGGCAAAAAGGTTTATGACATTGTTATGACACCCAGGTTTTGGTGTGGATTTAGTTTTGCCTCCACATCTGTAAGCCACTTGCAAAAGTGCTTCGCTTTGTGAATAGTGGAAAGGAACCGTTAATGGGGCATACTTACAAGGCAATGGAGGCTGCAAGAGAAGAAATCAAGTTGAACTTGAAGCAAAATGAAAGCAAATATGGCCCCATTTTGAAAATTGTAGATGACAAGTGGGATATGCAGTTGGAGAGACCCCAACACCTAGCAAGGTATTTTCTCAACGCTACTTATTTCTGTTCTAATCCCGAGATAGAGAGAAGGGGTTGTTTCATGGAAACAATTAACAAGTGTAATGTGTGGCTCCACCCCGACCTAGATGTCCCAGACAAAGTGTCTATGGAACTTGACTTGTATTGTTACTTTAGGGGACACTTTGAGACGAACATCGTAGTAAGGCAAAGGATGAAAATACATCCATGTAAGTTGAAAATGTATTTGTCATTTAAATTCTTACTCCTTACTTCTTATCTAACTTGACTCTAATTTTTTAAATTCTAAGTTTTAGTCATATATATTTACTCTACTTATTTTCATTTTTAAATGTCTTATAGCTTCTTGGTGGGCCAACCATGGACAAATTGCCCCCAACTTGCAAAGGATGGCGCAACGAATTTTGAACTTGACTTGTACATCATCCGGCTACGATCACAACTGCAGCACATTTGAAATGGTAAATTTTCTATTTACCCTCATCTCCTATCAATTTACTACACTAACTTTCTCAATTTTTTTTAAGTAGCAAATTCTAATAGTGCAATGATGTAATGTGAAACGAGTGCATACAAAGAAGAGAAAATAGACTTGACTAGAAGAAACTGAACAACCTTGTTTCCATTCAGTATAATCTGAGGCTGAAGGAGCGCCATCTAGAGCGGTTTCAAATTGAAGACCCCATAGCTGTGAAAGATTTAGATCCAACAAGCAAATGGTTGGTTGAGCAGGATGCTAGGGATGAGCTTGTATTCGAGGGAGAGAGCTTTGACATGGACCCAAGTGCAAAAGGCGGCTGGTATGGCATCAAGCACCATGAGATCAACTAATCCCAAACTCAAGACAAAAGGGAAGGAAATGGCAAAGGAAAAGGGAAAGGGGAAGGAGAAGGAGAAGGTGCAGAAGAAGAGGAGGACGATAGTGGAGGAGGAGCATACAAACTCAGAGTAGACAAAGGAATAATATTTTTGTGGAGGAGGAGGATGACTTTGATGATGATGGTTTGGCATCATCATCAGATTTAAGATGCACTTGATGCTGGCCTTAGACGTCGACCTCATGTTGCTAGTGATGAGGAAACTCAACCTCATATTTGAGTTCATCATATTTGTGAGGTGAAGAAGACTACCTTTTTTAGTTTATGGCCTTTGATTGTCAGATGTGACTTTTTTATAATGAGCAATTATTGTGATTTGTGACTTGCAAGATTTAATGGACATCTCGAGTAGCTTTTATCTTTTAATGTTGCTTTTTAAGGTTTAACTATTATACTTATAGTTTAAAGTCGTGTATGTTCATGTTCTGACTTCTATTTAAAGTCGTGTATGTTCATGTTTGATCTATAGTTCTGACTTCTGAGCAATACATTATATATGGAAAAATATATAATCTTACTTATTAAACAAAAAAAATGGAATTCTATGTACAATGACAGGGTAGGTCCAACAATCCACAAGGATCTAATCCTAACAGCAAAGAACGAAAGAATAAAAATAAAAACAGAGAAAAGGATAGCATATTGTATACTTTAGCATCGTTTGTGTATGTTATACCCACATAAAGGGCCACTGACCATCCATTATTGAAGATGGAAGGTGGAGACACTTCTCCAACTTGAAAGTCCAAAATTCTTTGTTAAATGGAACTATTGTTCATCTCCACGATCTGTCAACAAGCAGGATGGTGGATGGCCCTTGTGTATAGTACATGTTACATACTGTAAATATCACATAACATATCCACTCCTAAGATAAAGGTGAGATTTTGGACCGTGGCCTTTTTCATTTCCATGAGGCGATGTTTAAGATCATCATTCTCCTCAATCAACTCGGCGTCCTTAGATTGAAGAAGCTCTTCATGTGCCAACTGCATTTGTGTAATCTGATCTTGGAGCTCAGTGATAGTCGCTTCATACACTGTCCTTTGAGACTGCATCAATGCTTCATGAAGTTGCTCCTTTTCTAACATTTGGGTTTCATGCCGATGAATTTCCTCAGAAAGTTGTTGAGCCTGTAAGAACAGTCAAGATTAGGTCGGAACAACATGCTACTGATTCAAGAGAGCTCCCTTTACAAAGACCAAAAAGATTAGGTAGGAATAAAAAGCTATAAATTTGAGAGATTACTCTTTATATAAAGCTAGTAGGCAGTTCATGTATAGCAATTCTTTTAGGTCGGTCGGCAAGTGTATTCTTTGTGAAGCTTTCTCATAGACAAATCATGACACTGCTAATTCAAGAGACTACTCTGTACATATAGCTCATATGCAGTTTACATGATAGGTTTTTGCAACATTTTACCTTGACTGCCTACCTAACACAACTCAGCCCCCTGTACCCAGGCATGGGACGGGTTAAGGGAAAGTTTAAGGTCCTCACCCTTCTTAGACCAATATGCAGTTTACATAAGAGAGATTATAATTATTTCAGGTTAATGTGTGTATTGTATAAGAAGACTTGCATAAAAATCATGACATGCTATTGATTCCTAATCTTTTATATATAGCTTGTGGGCAGTTTACAGCAGAGAATATCTGGTAATTTCTTTTAGACAAATGAGTGTATTGCATGAGAAGTCTTTCTCAAAACATTATGACCAGCAATCAATTCAAGAGAAAACTCTTAATATATAGCTAGTAGCCACATTATGTCAGAGATCGTATTTTAATTCTTTTAGCAAAGAGAGTGTGATATATAGAAAACGTTCCTATGAAACATTCAAAACATGCCAAGGATTCAAGAGAACTGCAGTTCACATCAGCGTGTATTGTAAATATTTTACGTAAGTGGGCATATTACATGAGAAGCGTTTCTATAAAAACCGTGATATGCAATATTGATTCAATAGACTGCACTTTATATATAGCTAGTAGGCAGTTTATAATTTTATATCAGAATAGAAATTCTTTCAAAATATATGATAGTGTTATACAAGAAGCCTTTCTGCACGGTGCATAAAAACCTGTGACATGATATTCAAGGGATGACTTTTTACAGATAGATAGTGGGCGTTCACATCATAAAGTGTGCTGTAATTTCTTTGAGTGAAATGTATAAGAGGCCCTGTCATAAAAATATTGTAAGAAAATTTATCTGCACTGTTCATCAACCATTCTCAAATTTTATGAACATGGATAAGGCATACCTAGGTTGTCAAAACCGCACTTGGGGCCTAATCAGACTAATGAACAGTGATATCATCATTCTCATATTTTTGTATGAGAAGGCTTCTCATGCCACACTATTTTCACTTAAACTATTCCTAAGACCAACAATATGCTGGTTGCTTCATGTGTAAGTTTACATCTTCCCTTGGATGGGGTCTTTTGTACTCATAAACATCACCCCTTCAGCAACCAGAATATTTGAATCTAGATTGGCTTGACTGTCCAAACACTTAAAAGGTCTGCCATTCAGTGATTTAAAAAGCGAACCGCCCAGCACTTAGGCTGTCCAGAAGGCCTGGGTGCATCGCCCAGGCCTAAGCGGCCAAATTAGGCGGATATCCTTGGGCACCTGCCGAGGAGCCTGGGAACCCGCCTAGGCGGCTGCTCAGGGGCTTGCGCCTCACCCAAGGGTGGAAATGCCCCTCGTTGAGAGTATTTTTTTATCAGTTTTTAATATTAAAGGGGAAAAATTGTAAGTTTTAGGTTCATTTGAAACCTAAAACCCATTAGAGTCTATTTTAGAGAGAGAAAAACCCCACAATTTTTTTATTTTTACTAGGCCGCCCAGGTTTTAGGCGCCAGTGTAGGCCCTGGGCAGCCTGGACCCCCCCGGCTGCCTAGGCGCCACCTTGTGCTTTTTGAAACACTGCTGCCATTTAATTTCTGCCATTTACTTGCAAATCTTCTAGTACATGTCAATCATATACTGGAGGAGCAAAAAGCATGAGACCACCTCTAAGTCTAGTGCATAGCAAAGTGTGGATGATAGCACACTGTTGTGACTTGCTTTTGTGCATCTGAACTTATGTCATACTATCTCAATGTTCCAAGGAGATGAGGAATCTAGATAGTACCACCTCATCTCCTGGGCCACAATGTGCAAGCCTAAATCCCAAGATTGGGGATCCACACACTCAAAAGAACAATTTGGTCCTGTTGGGCAAATGGTGGTGGCGTTTGGCCTCCCAAGAGGGCCATTTGTGGTAACTTGTGCTCTGTCACAAGTATCGCCTTGACCAATCTCTCTGGCTGCACACAGTGTTGCCAACAATTCACCCTCTGGAGCTTGGAGATCTATCTCACATAGCTTCCACCTCTTCAGAGTCAACATCTGCTTCCCCAGAGGGACCGCTTTCCAGAACTTTACAGCATAGCTAGAGACACCCATGCCTCAGTTGCGGACCTCTTCAAAGTGGTAGGTACCTTCCCATTCTGGAATCCCAACTTTAGAAGACAGCTCCACGTTGAAGAGGTCGCAGCCTTCCTAGAACTCTTCACCTTATTCACTCTATCTACCTCTCTCTCCTCAAGGTGAGGATAAAATCATTTGGTCCCTAACTATGTCTGGCATATTCTCAGTATCCTCCTTTTACAGTAAACTCCATTCACATCCAACTTCCCCCATCTCCCCCACTTCTATTGTAGTGAAAGCATGGTTATCCTTCATCCCTTCTAAAATTCAGGTGTTCAACTTGGAGTGGGTCTTGAAGGTTGACCAATTGCAACGAGGGGAATGATCATTCCCAAACACTGTGATGTGCACAGTGGATGAGGAAACTAATTCACACCTCTTCATCCACTGCAGCTTAGCCAGCAACCTACGAGCAGACCTATTACTAATATTCAACTGGTCTTGGGTAACCCCTAGGTCGATACCCCACATGCTTGAATACATGCAATACCTCCCCTGGCCCAATTCAGGCACAATGCTTTGGAAGGCCTCACTAGCGGCTACTCTGTGGGCAATATGCATCAAATCCACAGTTATCTTTTGGGCCAAGTACCATAGCTGCTTCAAACACCAATCAGCCTTAGACTTCCATCTCAACCGGCAGGCCCTTCTCTCTCTTAGACCAAGTCGCATCCCTTAAGCTTCCCTCTGGAGACCCCCAGAACCGGGCAAATCTAAACTCAACTTCAATGGTTGCTCACTTGGCAACCCAGAGCCGGCTGGCGTCGGAGGCTTTCATCGGAAACCACGAGGACCTTTCCCTATTCTCCTTAGCCAAACCCATTGGCGAAATCAATTCCACTACGGTGGACGCTCTCGCTCTATTGGAAGGTCTCAAAAACTTCAATCCACCTTGGAACACCGATCTGATAGTGGAAGGAAACTCTAGAAACATCATCCTATGGGCTTCAGGAAAGGCCACACCCCCTTGGAGACTCGCTCATGTATTTGATGAAATTGTTGACATTTGCAGGCATATACCCATCTCATAGGTGCATATCTGGAGAGAGGAGAACCACATGGCCAACACTCTCACTAAGGAAGGACCAGCATTGGTAGGACCTTGGAGATTTTTGGTTTTTGGTTTCTTGATCCTGTTTTGTATTTACATGGCTGTATAGCATTTTTAACCTCTACCACCTTCTTGGTGGTTTTGCATAGAGCTCTTGAGTTGTGGGCAGCCTATGTTTTGATACCATGAACAACCTGAACTTTATACAATAGTAAACAATTTAAAAAAAAACTTATGTCATACTATCAATAAATTTTATGACAATCCTTCAGGATTGCAATTGGCACCATAATAGTGATTATTTCATAATATCGAGAATGCCTTAGTAGCTAACAACTTAAAGGGACCTTACATAACCAATTGTCCTTCTCTCTTTGATAGTTAACAGTCAACTGACATGACAAGTCTCACTATGATGCAGGTTGTCATGGGATTAAGATGGTGACTCCATGAGAAACATGCATAACCTTTTGTCAAGCCTTTGGAAGTAATGGTCCCAGAAGGTCAACCATGTTGGTTCCCACCTTACCTATTGTTCTATGAATGATATCATCATTATCATCATCATCATCAAAGGCTTTTCCCAACTATTTGGGGTCGGTTATATGAATATTGGTCGCATTCTACTCTATAAAGGGTCACATCTTCAGTAAGGCCATAAGTCCCCACATCTTTTCTACAAAATACACCGGTGAATCCATGCATATTTTTCACCGCAACCAAGAGACGTTATAACGCTTCGCTTCTGGGAAACACCCTAGCTAACCCTCGATCATTTCTCATTGTACCCGGGTTCTGGTACAACACATCGCTTACAAGAAACACCCAAGTATAAGCAAATAACATAGATTCAGGATTCATGGAAAGATATGTACAATGTAAATTTGACAGTAAAGTAATATAATTTATAACAAATATTTCATCTGTCATAAATTGACAAACAAGAGAGTGATCCAATATAATGAATCTATGCATTTTTTTAACCAAAATTAGGAATAGGAATCTAATTTTCCTGCACTAAAAATAGGTATCTTATTTGTGGATTTCTAATTGATTGGACAAGAAAGTAACTACAATACATATAGTATGGCATATATGTTATAATGGGGAACTGTCGTAGAAACACACTTGAAATTCAGCATTTCAAAGAAAACCCCCACTTTTTCTTTCATTTCATGCAGCACTGCAAAATAAAAATAACCATCAAAGACCCCACCCCTGGTGCACAACTTTCTTTCCCTTTTTTCTCTCAAACCTTATCCTTTGAAAATACATTTATTCCTTACAAGTCCTTTCTCCCTTCTTCCTCTACCTCATTCCAATATTTCCCCAAGCTCTCTCCTCTCCTTTGCATTAAATCCTCTCCCTCTCTTTCTCTCTCTTGTCCCTTTTTCAGTTTGACCGCCTTGCTCTGATGTGGCTTGCTAACGCCATGAATAGGAACTCTCTCTATCAAGCACGGTTCTCTCCTCTCCCTTCTTTCACTCTAAAAATATTTCTCAAATAAATAGCTTGCTATATCCTTTCTCCAACCAGTTCTCTCTTTCTCCCTCTGCCTCTTTTACCCATGACCTCCATGTCTTTCCATTTCCATAAAATCTCAAATCTCAAATCTCTCTCTCTCTCTCTCTCTCTCTCTCT